TTGGAAAAGAAGTACAGTATCTTTAAATTTCCCCCCAAAAAAATCTTATGTGAATTTCTTTCTAGAGCACATTGATGGATTGACCTTATTAGATGCTAACAAGAACCAAAAAAGATAAGAAACTTAAAACTAGGGCATGCTTCCCCCACACATGCTCAAAGCTATATAAACCCAGTCTCATTCAAAGCTTCAAGATTAAAGGGGACTTGGGTCTCCAGGACACTCAGTTTACTGCCATAATGGAAGGTGAGTAGAGGTCACCCATTCATTCACTTTAAAAGGTTTTAGTAACAGGGAATCTGGTGAAGATGAACTGCTGGCCTAGGATTATTATTGGAAACCAAAGTCACCTAATCATCAATATTAGAAGCAGATTGGTTTAATGTAAAAAATAAATTAGTAAGGGAATAAAATTGCTAACATATGGGCATTGTAGCTTGTATAATAAAACCAAAACCAAACCCACTGCCATTGAGTCAATTCCAACTCATAGCAACCCTATAGGACTGCCCCACAGGGTTTCCAAGGAGTAAATCTTTACGGAAGCAGAGTGTCATATGTTTTCCCCGCAGAGCGGTTGGTGGCTTTGAACCACTGACCTTTTGGTTAGCTCGAGCACTTAACCACTGCACCACCAAGGCTCCTGCATGTGCAATAGAGTATAAGAAAAAAAAATGTTTCCCCTAAAAATTTAACCATCTAGGGAGATTATTTTTTTTCTGAGATATTTATACACTTTATCTCCTGTATTAATGTGCATTACAACTAAGCTGGATGCACTAAATGGAAACACAGGCATGTTCTATCCTTTAAGGAAAATAATCAGACAAAAATATTATAGGAAAACAACGCTGAATGTTAGAAAAGGAAGACCGAAACTTTTTAGTGTTGCTAAAATTAAGAGTCTCATAACAAAACGGGAATGAAGGAAGATGGGGTATTTCTGGTAATATGGCATTATTTTACATGCAGAGTGAACTGATTTATGATGTTGCAAAGAAAAACAGAAAACTTTCTTTAATTCTGCTTTTAATCCTACTGAGTTATATGAATACATTTAGTAGAAGGCTATAATCCTGTATACTGTTTATAAAGAAGAATGTACCTTGGGTGTTCATTCCAATTAGAATCATGCAATTGTAGAGGTAAGGTTGCTTTTTGAAGCGACAGACTAAAAAGAGTTCATAAAGAGCTGATCCTAACCAATTAAATAAAACTGTTCACTTGCAAATTCTTATGGCACTTTTTCATTTGAATAAATAACTCTAAAGTAAATCCTACCACCACTTCTCTTCATCTTGAGAAAAGATAGAATTAACAGGCCAAGGAAGAGTTTTAAATAACTTGGGAGAGATGAGAATATGTGAATATTTGTGCATACACACACTTAAAAAGTTGTTCATACCCTTTTTTTAATCGAATGACATATGCTTCAAATGGAATAAAGATGTCTAAGTTAACCTCTCCTTAAAAGAGATCTCACTAAAAATATGAGGAAAATGATGGCGAACATCATCCTTCTTCTCATTTCATATATCCATCCAGTGTGTAAATCTGTCTAGCTCTCTCACTCTAGCAATCTAATCCATCTACACGATCTGTCTAACCCATCTACTGTATTTTGTGCCTTTACTACTGGTTAGATCAAGTTAATATTTTTCGTATTTATAATTAAAACGAAAATTTTAAAGGCAACTTTAATTGTGGATTATATAACCCTGTTGCCCACTATTCCATACATACAACATAGGAACTGGGATACATGGTTTTCTAAGGTCCCCAGAAAACATCAATGGCACAAAAAACCTAAGGACATCAATCAAGATAAACAACGTAAGTTGGTATGCTTACTTCTACAAGGTGTTAAGGTTCCATATTTATGAAAGAAAAAAAAAAGACATATCAAAATCAAAATTTGATAGTAGACTATTTTCAAATACCAAATAACATGTAATTTATGGAAAATTTTTATGGGAGTATTTGATTGTGTATGCATTGATTAAAAATACAATTTATAATAATATTTGTTATAAATTTGATTTGCCTTCCACCATAATAGGGTCGATTTTTATTCTTCTTCCTCTTTGTCCTATTTTGCCAAGGAAAAGGAGTAAGAGAGAAGAAGGAAAAAAGGGAGAGAAAATATTCTAAAAAGAAATATGGTAAGAATTTATGGGGAAACAGAGGGTCTACTACTTTTTAAACTTTGTGTTTCTACACATGCCACCACATTAGGCTTCCCATAATTGCTTGAAAAAATCTCAGTAGATTAAATAATTTGAAAACACTGAGACTTTACTACTAAGTGTTTGGAAGATGGCCCCAAACTAACAACTTATTCTGCATATAGAACTATACTTTTAGTTAATGAATATACCAGAAGTTGTGAAAATGAATTTCTTTCAGATTGTCTGTCTTGCTCATTACTTACTTGTTGTCTGGAACATGTCCTACATCCCAGGCTTTTTTTTTTTTAATAAGCACTTGGTGGTTTTGGAGCCCTGATGGTACAGTGGTTAAGAGGTTTGCTGCTAACCAAAAAGTTAGCAGTTCAAATCCACCCACTGCTCCTTAGAAACCCTATAGGGCAGCTCTACTTTGTCCTAAAGGGTCCTATGAGTTGTAATTAACTGGACAGCAATAGGTTTGGTTCTGGTTCGGTTTGATGGTTTTGACTCCCTCAGTTTTTACCTGCACTAACCCTTGAACAAAGACAAAAACCCGGACATAATATCTCAATATCTTTTAATGTTTCCCTCAGGTTACTTACCGTGTGACATTATTCCCCTTAGGGACTATTTGTTTACAGTTTTTTCCCCCCTACTCTGTGAACTAGTAGAGGTCAGCAGCTTCTAAACTGTTGCATTTTCATACTCAGCAAAATTTCTATTAATAGTCAGAAAACTTTAGTTCTCATCATTGTTCTACCAGTAACTAGTTGTGTGAGCTTGGGCAAGTTATTAACCTTGGCCTTAGCTCTCTGGGATAGTTTTTCTATAATCAAATCACACTGTTTCTAGGACAGATAATTTTTAAAGACCTTTTCATTCGGAAAAATAAAAGCCTAATTTATAAATTATACAGCTCCATGCTCTGGAGCAAGAAATCCACCGATTTCAATATTTTCCTATTATGACAGAGCTTAAAATCCACATTATAAATACTTATAATATGGCCTTGACACATTTCGCAACTCTGTTTAATAATGGCTTTGTCTCAACAGTCTCATAGAAATTAAAAAAGAAATTGAAACTATTGGTACTCCATCAGATCGCAGCGAAACCAAGGGTCTCACAAAGGGCCATATTGTTTATTAAGGATTTATATCTTATTTACAGTAAGAAATTGTCAGAACAATTTTTTAATCCTACTGAGTTTTTCAATAATTATAAACATTTTCAACGTAGATAACTGGGTGCCAACAACAAACTATATTCAAAATCAATGTACTTGGACTGAAAAACATGAAATCCCATGACAGTTTTGAACCGATGAATTTAATAACTACACTCTAGCTATGAATAGATAAGAGCATATTAGAAATGTATTATTCATAATTACAGAAAAGGAAGACAAAAACCCCTGGCTGGGGCATGCACAGAAGCTGCTAACTTAAAATCCCAGGTACAACAAGAATTTAAAAAAAAAAAAAAAAAGTTGCCACAATTCTGACTCATGGTGACCTCATGTGGTTCAGAGTAGAACTGCACTCCATAGGGTTTTCAATGGCTGTAATCTTTGGAAAGCAGATCTCCAGGTCTTTCTCCCAAGGCGCCTCATGCTGGACTCTGACCTCCAGCCTTTTGGTTAGTACCTGAGTGGTTAACTGTTTGTGCCACTGAGGGACTCCAGAACAAAAAAGAATAAACCCTAATTGGGCCAGATGATCTTGAGTAAAGAAACAAAGTGTAACTGACCCAATTAAGACAAAATGAGAGAAACTTCGTTGGCAAAAGAAGTTAAAATCTGTTTAATATACGAGTGAAATAATGTTGGCATGTTTGTTTCTGATGTTTGTGATATTTACACATATTAAAATATGTTGGATTCTCAAGAAGTAACCTCAAGAGAATGATGACTTTTTCAGCCAGATTAGCTGACTGCAAACCTAAGAATCACCTCCAGGTGAATGATGGAACTTAGGGGCTGGATTCATAGCTTCATGAATGAGATTCTTTTTTTTGCTAGTCAGAGCAAATACATATTGAACACCCACTATGAACTTTGGTACTATGGTAAGATTTCCAGACACGATGTCATTAAATTCTCACAAATCTCTATGAAGTAGGTGCTGTTATTATCTCCATTTTCAGAAAAAAAAAAAAACCCTAAAAATATTATCAAAGTTCATGCCACTAGCCAGCGGTGGAGATAATACATTCCTGACAACTTAATTTTCCTTTATTATTATTATTTTTACCAATACAGCTCCTTCCTTCCTTACTTGATTCTCCTCATCATTCTAAATTTCCACATAAGAAAAATATAAAGGTGATAGATCTCTCAGACTTAGATTTTACAGTCAATACCAACGGTGAAATTCAACTTGAATGCCAAATCATTACCTTCCTTAACTCCCACCTTTATCACACATGGCCCTTGAGCATACAGCAAAAAGTTCTCTCCGCCATCGACTCCCTAAGTGAAATCTATGGTACCTGTGTGCTTTGGTTCCCCTGCACCTACCCATTAAGAACACTTGCATACACATTTTAAACATTCAAGTACAGGCAAAAAATGAAACATTCCTCTACAATAATTTCCTCTCAGCAGAGAATGAAAACTACTGGCAGCTTGCTTAAACTGCAGCTCCCTAACACAGCAGGGCATGTAATGGAGAGTCACCAGTCGCAGGATTTCAATAGTACAGGAGGCAACACTTGGTGAATTAGGCTGACAGTGATTTTTATTTTTGAAGGCCATTTCAATTAGGTCATATATGAATGAGAAACAAAGTATATGTTTTCCATTGGAAGTATATATGAAATATGATTTCTGACCTGTATCTGTTGCTGAAGCAAATTGATTTTGTGTTGTTGCTGCAGAAGCTGCTGCTGTTGTCTTGCAATCTGTGGAGAAATTACACATGAAAATGTTAAAAGTATATTGCAGTCCTGGAGGGAAACCACCAATGTTCTATTTCTCAAAGTTTGATTTGACACTGACTAAGATGATGAAAATAGATGTGGTTGTGCCTCTAAATTATCAGCAATTCATCCTTATGGGGATCCAACGAGATATTTAGTCTTCAGGAACAGTTATGCTTCTTTTGGCCTAAAACAAATGAAGCCTAAGACACTGCAACAATGATCTATCCCAGTACGAAATGTTACCTGTTGTTGTCAGGTCGATCACGACTCACAGCAACCCTAGAGGACATAACAGAACTACCCCATAGGGTTTCCAAGGAGCGACTGGTAGATTTGCACTTCTGATCTTTTGGTTAGCAGCCAAGCTCTTAACTACTGTGCTGCTAGGGCTCCAAATGTTAGCGTTGCAAAAATCCCTCTTTCTGGTGATATTAAGAAGGCACTGCCTCTAACATTTTCAGCCCTTTTATACCAAAGAAAAGAGTATTGTATAAACAGGGGTATGGTTGTGCCCAAGTAGTTCAATGTAGCACAAAGTATTGGAAGATACTGTATTCCTTAAATCAAAAAAAACGCAAAACCAATTGCCATCCTGTCGACTCTGACTTATAGCGACCCCGTGTGTGTGTCAGAACAGAACTATGCTCCACAGGGTTTTCAATGGCTGATTTTTCAGCCAGGCCATTCTGCGGCGGTGCCTCAAGTGGACTTAAACCTCCAAACTTTCGGTTAGAAGCAGTCTGCTAATCATTTGCACTACCCAGGGACTCCACTGTATTCCTTAGCGAGGGCTTTTTTTGTTTCCCTGGTAAATAATGTCCTCATTTCTTCCTCCCACAAATTCCTAAACCACCCACTCCTCAATGCAATCCATTCTCTTTTCTCCTCTCATTTCTTTATCAAAATGGTTAATTGAGTCACCAATCACTTCCACTTCTCTAATTCTAAAGCAATTTTTGTTTGTTTTATTTGATTCTTAGTCCTCATTTTTTGACTTGTCATCAGTATTCAATACTCAAGTGCTTTCTCTTGATCCTGAACTACCTTCTTCCTGTGGCTTTTATGATATCACACTTTCCTGCTCTTGTCCTACCTTTCGATATATTCCTTCTGTTATATTTAATGGCTCTGTCCAGCCATTAAATGTTGTAGCTTCATAAGGCTCAATTTTAGAGTCTCTTCTCTTTTCCCTCTATACCTACTTTCACATGTATGCCAAGAGCTTATACGTTTGTTTCTCTAGTCTCAACCTCTGCTTTAAACTTCAGACCCATTTATCTAACTGTGTACTTGAAGGTATTTCAAATTCAATAAGTTCAAAACTAAACTCAGGACTTAGCCTTCCATATGATCATTTAAAGTGTTTTTCTAACCCAGGTTTTAGCACAATAATTCCCCTGTTATTTGCTCTTATCACACCCTATACATTTACTTAATACTATATCACATGCTATGGGTTTATATTTATTTGCTTTCGATTGTTTGACTTTTTTATTGCCATCTCTCTGTCTCCTCGGTAGAAGTTTATAAACACAGTGAGCATAGGGATCATGTATATTTTGCTCACCAATTGCACAGAGCCTGGTACATAAGGAGTTCTGAATAAATATTTGATGAAGAATGTATAAACAAATAGATGAGAATAAATTTTAAAACATTTCATTACATAATAGAGGGTGGGAAGCTTTCTAATGAGAATGCAACTCCTAAACTTAAGAAATTTTTCACTCTCATAAATACACTCTAGTTCTTAGGCTCATCATGTTGTAATCATTATCATTTTCACTGCAAAAACATACCCCTTAACCTTTGAATCTAGCTAAAAATTCAGAAAATAGTGAATACATGTAGAATTCATTACTGTGAATAAAAATAAAGAAACCATGATGCAGATGGGTCTACAAAGATCAATTTTTTATTTTTTTATAGACATAGGTAAAATTACGATTATTTTAATGATTTTATTTTATCTTAGGAATATAATAAAAGAAATTTTTTTTTTTAAAGAAAGATAAGGAAGAAGATGGTAGAAAAAAATACTCTGTAAGTCTGGTTGCTTCCTACGAGTTATCATTTCCACTGATATTTAAATCATTTTAGCACTACCTTGAGAGTATATCAAGACTTTAACCATTTTATACCCCTTCACACTTTCTTCTTTTCTAAGCCACCATATCCCCTACTTGGATTGGCATAATAGCCTCTTATTTTCTCTTTCTGCTTCCACCCTAGCTCCTTACAGTCTCTTATAAACGAACATCTGGAGATATCTGTCTAAAATATAACTTGTGTCATATCAGCCATCTTTTCAAAACCTCTCTCTCTCAGAGTGAAAGTAAGGTCCATATGATGCCTACAGGCCCTATACAATATGGCCTCCTGCTACCTCTCTGAATTCATGTCTTCCTTGTCTCCCCCTTGTCACTCCACTCTAGCCACGCTGTTCTCCCAACTGCCTGTTGAACACGCCTCCCAAGGAAACTCCTGCCTCTCTGGGCCTTTGCGCTTGCTTTTCCCTCCATCAGGAATACTCTTTTCCTGGATAGTTACATGGTTCACTCCTTCATCTCCTACAAGTTACTGGCAGTAAAAAGATGTTACCTTGTCAATGAGGTCTTCTCTGAGTACATGTTTAAAAATAGCACCTCTCTCTACCTGGCACCCTCCCAATACTCTGCTTTGCTTTTCACCATAATACTTATCAATATTTACTATATTTTACTTGTTTATTTATTCATTGTCTGTCTCCCCCAACTAGAATTTGATGCATGAGAGATGTTTATCTGTTTTCTTCTCTGCTGTTTCCTCCAGCAACTAGAACAGAGTCTGGCTCAGTAAATATTTGTTGAATAGATGAATGTGGAATGGAGTTCAGAGTCTGATAGAAAAGCTCACCAATAAACAGGTACATCAGAGTATTAGAGTTTGCAGAGTAGGGGCACCTCACACTGAGTAGGGAGTGCTAGGAGAAGGTTCATCCATGAAGATGAACCTGACTAGAGTCTTAAGGACCAGAGTCTGAAATGTCCTTCAGACAGTTCCCTGTGTCCTGTCCTGATGAAAAAGATCAGTGACCACAAGAGTGGTGACTATAAATGCCAGCACTCAGTTCCTTGGGTTTATAGTCACCGTAAGGAGCCATCGTAGCACAAACAGTTAAGTACTTAGATGCTAACCAAAAGACTGGCAGTTCGAACCCACCCAGTAGCTCTGCAGGAGAAAGACCTGGTGATCTGCGTCCATAAAGAGTATAGTCAAGAAAATCTTACAAGGAAGTTCTACTCTGTCACATGGGGTTGCTAGGAATGGAAAATAACTCAACAGAACCTATCAATAACAAAAACATAGTCACTGTCGTCCACCTATGATAGAGAGAATACGGGAGAGTAGAATTGACTCCAGAAACGTAACCTGTTGCTCTCACAAGGGATCTTTTCTCAGGCTGTGTAGGAGTCATTGCTTGGCATCTCTCCAGCACAGGAGAGAAACTCTGGAAGAGTCTATCGGTCTATAATGTTCCAAGGAGAATGTCAGAACCCTTGAGATAGTAAAAAATTTTAGAATCCTCTGATGATATCCAGGGAGGAGTCAGACTGTGAAAGAGAAGAGCCTTGTTCTTCATTACAGATTGCTTAGATTTTTTAGGACAAGACTGCCCTCAGACTCAACCAAGGCGAGGAGGGATTCTCTGCAAAAAAAAAAAAAAAAAAATCTATGTATATGTATATGGAGGTATATTCTCATAGGCTCCTAGGGTTCTCTAGAATTCAGATGTTTGAAGGCATTGAGAATTAAGGAAACGAGTAGTGTTTTTCTAGATAGTGACAGGCAAGCGTTCTGAACTCCTCTGTCAGGAGTAAAGCAAGAGGAATATGTGATACCCAGTATCAGGTCAAATATATCATTAGGGAAAAAGGTTGAAACAT